TCCTGTACTTTTTGCAGATACAGACTAACACGGCTGCTACTCTGAAACCTTTTGCACTGTAATAATGTAAGAGGTGTTCCCTGGAGACTTGGTTGCTGGAGTGGGTGAAGTCCAAAGTACAAGGATGTGGTCCAGTGACACCTTGCTTGCAAAAACAAAGAGGACAGACATCAAATTAGCAACTGATAGACTGGACCGCTTACCTCTGCTACATGGAATAAGCTAAGTGAGTGACTAACAGAGACTGCCTCTAGGGATAGTGAAAGTTGTTCTGAAGAACTTGAGGATGGAATTATTTCTGGGAGGAAACTGGCAGGCATATCTGGCAGGAAAGCAGAATGTAGTCCATTGATGTACATCGAATCTCCTCTGAGCGTGAACTGGGTGAGTTCAGGCTGATGTATCACTTCTCCAGTTTCTCTAGAGAGGCTCAAGGCTCATCTAACCTGGAGATTCACCCTGGTTTAGGCCACTGGAGTAACTGCACCAGTGCAAGCCCCTAGTATGGGCAGGGTAAACTGCTATCGAGAGCAATTTTGTGGATGCTGTAGCCATCAAGTGGAGGTGCTTTGCGGCATTCTACCTGTGTAGGACAGACACAGGTGGAATGCTATAGGGAGCACTGTTATAGTGTTCCCTTCACCACTTTGGAAAGGAGCAGCATGAGCTCTAAGATGCTAGCAGGCATGGGGCCTTGACCCTTGACCCTGCCTCCAACCCAGCAGGCCATGCCTCATGGACTGCCAGGCATGCTACCCCATTCCACAGACTAGCACTCAACGCAGAGTCAGGTGTCTCTTTTACTTATCTCCTGGGCCCACACACTAGAAGGGGAAAGAAGTACCTTGCACCATCTCCCCCCTTGATGCACAAGAACAGCAGACTTGCCCTTTATCTTCATTAATATTTTCAAAGTGTTACAATAACCTCAATGCTGTTGCTTAGATAAATGTGAATGTGATTTAAAAAAATAAATAAAAGCTTGCTCACAAACATCAGATACAGCATCATTTTAAAATCCGGACAAGATCTTTCTCCCTGGCAGTTTAAATTTAGAACCATGTGTTGTCATAAAAAAAAATAATATTGCTTTTCATCTGTCTTCCCTCAGGCTTGTAGGAGTCAATCTCAGTGTAGCAGATGCTGCTATTGCTATTGCTCTTTTAAATCTGGGACAGCAAAGCTCTGGCACTTTTTCAGAGTCCTGGTGTCCTTGATCATATTTCTTCCCACAGCAAATAAAGGTGAGGTTTGCACAGCGTCCTAGTTTTAGCTCCTAATTCCACTAGAGAAGTTTAAAAAAAGTTTTGGCAGCTTCTTGTGTATATATTTATTAAATTATCCATTGTGTGTTTGTAAGGCACCTGTGCAAGACTGAAGAGATAAAATGTAAATAGTCCTAAAATTCCCCACATAGTAACATTTATAAAATCTCAGTGGAGCATGCCACCGTCTCTCCCAAACTTCCACAGCTAATGGATCATATGCCAGACAGGAATGGTGGAACAGTGGAAACCTTTTCTGAGTTGTTTAAAGATCTAAAATGGAATAGAAACGATAAAGGATTTTACCCTGGGAAAATATTTTCAACATTTTTGCCCAATGTTAAAGCATTTAGGGCCACATTGTCAAGTGCTCAGCACCTAGAGTTGGAGCCAGATTTTCAAAAGAGCTCACCATCCAATATATACCCGATGTGCTGATCTCTTTTGAAATTCTGGCAATTACTGAGGTGCATTAATGGGCGCTGAGGACTTCTGAAAACTCTGGCTTTTGAAGAAGAATTAAGCAGCATCTTCAGTACCTGCGGAGTAAAGTTCTCACTTTATGAAATATTCTCTTCATCTGCTACCCTCTTACAAATTTGGGAGTGTTATGCTCATACAAAGCACACGGGATCTTTTCAGGAGAAGGCAAATACGCAGCATTTATTGAAAATACAACAGTTAGCATATGTTTTTTAGTTCACACACACACACACACACACACACACACACAGTCCTGCCAGTTGATGTTTATAGTTACCAGTCTGTTGTAGCTCGAATCAATCTAATGGCCAGTTAGATTGAGCACGAGTGAGGAGCTGGGCTCTTGTTGGTTGCGATCCGATGCTCCGAGGCTTTGCAGGACTGAACCCAGAGTTCCATGGCAAAACACCCCAGCTTTATAGTTGTCAATTCCCATTTGAGTCCATGCATTTTGCAATGTCATCCTGTAACCATTAGTCCTTAAGTGGTGTTATCATTTGATGGTTATTGTCGGGCTTCCCATCATTATCTCCTATTTGTTGTCTCGCCTTCGGGGGTGCCTGACTCACCTCTGAGGTCATCAATGCTGCTAATGTTTAGCATCGGATACAATGGATATTTTCTGATTGTCTCCTGGTCTTTCCAAGTCTCTCACCATCTGGACATTTGTGATGGCTTTCATACCTTATCTTTTCCTGATGCATGCATTCCTCATTCACACAAACAATCTCTAACAGAAACCTTCAAAGGTATACCGATAGCATTTTATATTCAGTAGAATACATTATAAATCAAGCCTTGCTAAATCTTATAACTAAAACAATTCACATTGGGGGGTTCAGGCCCTCATTCCTTTAATCTCCTTAACATAGATACAATACAAGGTCCTGTCTCTTACTTACTAAACCTTAAAACAAAGAAATGTATATTTAACTAGAGTGCCTAATTTGTAATATATATAGGAAACCATAGTAGACATTATAACTTATCCTAAAACAAAAGGGAGACCATAATCAGTCATAAGGATTGTTCTGGTCGTTCATTCCTTTCTGCTGTTCAAAAAGGGTGGCTGACAGGATGAACTCAAATCATACATTAATTCTCATGGGACATTATAAAATCCTGCTCCTACAGGAGTGACACTGAATTATGCTGGTCTGCAACTAGGAAGCTGAAAAACAAATATGTTGTGGGGTGGCTGTTGGGATTCTGGTTTGTTTGTTTTGTTACTGTAGTTGAATTGTGCTGACTTTTCCTTCATCAGCAAAGGAGTCACTAACAGCTGTTTTGAAATTAGTGTGCCACGGTTACATTTTTGTAAATAACTTTTTTTTTAAATACTCATTGTGTCTCTTACACGTTGTGCTAACGTTGTCTGCTCACAGGACAATGTCAAATCTGAACAGTGGCTTTGTTGGCACTGATCTCAATATACACATGCAACGCCGACAGACCCCGGTCATCGGTGGGCAGGATCAAACCAAGAGACCTCTGGAGTTTAGTGCATGAGCCTCTACAGCATGAGCTAAAAGCCAACTGACTGTTAACTAAGGCTGTAGAGCAGACTCATTTAACTCTCTCTTTAAGTGGTCTCAGTGCCACTAGATGGGACGGAATACCACACCCAGAAGGTGTGTGGGTTACACACACAAGGCACTTTTTAATATATAATCCAGCATAGTCAGGCCTAGAGTGGAACTAAAGAAGCGAAAGAATCACAATGGTGCCTTTTCTGGATTTCATATACATCAAAATATGCCCTCAAATAGGCACCCCTCTTCCCCCATTTTAAATGACCAACACAAATTTTGTTTTGCTTTCTCTGTCAGGCAAACAGTTTCTGATGGTCTGTTGTGTGGTGGCTTAAGACAGATTTCACATTATTTGTAATTCAGCACTACCATATATGTTTAATTTATGGGCCTGATTTTCCGCAACTAGAAAGGTGCACACAAAAATACATGTTTCAGAGTAGCAGCCGTGTTAGTCTGTATCCGCAAAAAGAACAGGAGTACTTGTGGCACCTTAGAGACTAACAAATTTATTTGAGCATAAGCTTTCGTGCGCTACAGTCTCTAAGGTGCCACAAGTACTCCTGTTCTTTTTACAAAAATACATGCCTACTTTGCATATGCATACTGGATTTAGTAAGTGCTTAGCCAGTCATGTGTATTGGGGATTTGCATGTGTACATCCAGTAGGGCATGCACAAAGTGGGTGTGCTTATATTCACAAATGAATACCCACCTACTTATTAAAAGTGAAGCCAAGAATTTCAGAATATATGTTATATTCGGACAGTGTTGTTATTCAAGATTGCTATAAGCACTTCCATTAAAAAATTCCTCTTTTTGATACTATATATCATTCTTATTTAAACTAAACTTGTATTGCAAGATTTTTTTTTACACAACATTTTAAACACATTTTAAGAATTAAATTTTCTTTGTGGTTAATAATGCACTGTAAAACCTCTATTTAGGGAATGGGTCTCCTGTCTCTAGTTATAATTTATAGAGCCTCAGCTGACGGCGTGCAGAGAAGGACACTTGTTGTACCACTTACTCCTATGTTTTGTGACCTATGTGTAGCTCAAACACGGCCCAGAATTTGTCTCATGTGGTTTATCAGTATTGCACTGCTCCAGAAAATAGCTAAAAGGATAGTTTTAAGAGATTCTGTTGAGATATGCCAAGAAGCTGGAGTACTTTCAAAACTGTCAAACAGGGAGTGTCTGCTCTCTCACACAGCACACTTCAAAAGATTAATTAAATCCCTAGTCTACGTCCCTATGAACCTAGGTAAGCTCATGAGCTACTAAAGCAAAAGGAAATCTGAGCAATAAGACAAGGAGAAAGAGGAGGAGGGATGTTCATATGGATCCTGTTGCTAAGGAAACTTCAGTGCTGCCTTTGTGTCTACATGTTCAGACAGCCTCATTTTGATGCTGTGTAAGAGAACATGACTTGTGGGAGTGAGGTGAAGATTTACTTTAAATAAAAAATTAAATTTAAAATACCAGTATTTTATAGGTATATGTTTACTTATATTATTTGTGCTTAGAAATGCTTCTGACTTGCTTTTGTCCCTTTTCTTGGAGATGGTTCTATAATGCAGTATTTGTTACTGTTTACAGTTGAATCCTCCCCCTCCCCAACCCTTTAGTGATTTGTTTGTATAGGGACCTGATCCTGCTTGGGAACATTCAGTACAGTAGGTGCCTCCTCTGGAGCTGACTGCTACTGTAATTCTTCACAGTTACACTAGCTCATCTGCTGCATCAGAGGCTATTCCACATGCTGCATTGGGCTGTGCGGGTCCACTACCAATTCTCTACAGATCTACTGCATCCTGCAGGGCAGGAAAAGGGGGCATATTGGGAGTGAAGATGCTCAAGCAAGATGCTCATGCTGGACTCTAAACGAGGTATGATGCAGCCATTTAGGGGGATATCACATGGCAACTGAATCCACATGACATGTTGTAAGACAGGAAGAAATGATCAATCTTTTGTATTAAGTTAAGCCAAATATACAGTTTTAGATTTATTAAGAAGGAACAAACATTCTGTATTTGGCTCATGCTGATGAGAGTTAATGGGAGGCTCAGAAAAGTCAAAAAAGTCTCTCCATCCTGCCCTGACAGAGAAACAGGGACTCTGGTTTCTCCAGTCTCCTCAGGAGATCATCCTTCCTGGTCCACTCCCCAAATGACCTTCTCCCCAAGCTATGTGGAACCATCTACAGTCCTGTTTTCTAGCTAACTGCTCCCTAGCCACTCATATCAGGTGCTGCTAGATTCAAGGGCACTATAATTGGTTTCCTGGAGCTCCTATAGTGACAATATGTATCAACAATATGTCAGGGGTGATGTTGAAGTAAATGTGCTTCTGTTGCGCTCATAAGAGAAAGTAATGGTTAGATTTACCTGTGCCTTGTCCCTTTTTAAGGATTGAAGGTCTGTTGAGGGGATACCTCTGATTGGAGCAGAGTTTTGTGTTTTGTGAAAGGATGGAGCAGCAATAGAACTTGTGCAAGCTGTTTTGGTTTGGTTTTTTAAATACTAAATTTAATAAAACTCCAGTTTTAAAACTGGCCCTGGGCTGGGAGTATTACACTTCTAAAGTCACTCCTAGTGACAGTTCTACATCTCCAATCAGGGTCATTCTCTCACAGATCTGGGACCCCAATGACTGGTTATACCAAGTCTGCTGTTGCCAGAAGGGAAGGGGGTGGTCCATCTGTCTCTCAGGCCCAAATGTTTTTATAGCTAGTGTGGAAGTAGGGGACTCCAGAGTACCAGTACTGGCACAGTCCCTCAACCCCGCTATGGATTTAGTAACAGCAAATTGCACAGGAAGAGACTAGACTTGGGACTAGTGACAGATGCAGAACACACCACATGCAGTTGTACTGAACATCTCCTGCCAGCAAAGCCTGCAGACCATCTAAGTGGCTTTTTTTTTTTCCGCCCATAGTGGGGAACAGGCTGAGGTCACCACTGGGAGTGTCTTGTATCTTGTAAGGTGAAAATAGAATTCCTGGGACTGGGACTTCTAGTCTTCAGGGATATGAGTGTCACATCAAGTCTCAGTACCAGCTGCTTCATATTAACAAAAAATCTCAACCACAAACACAAGCAATATATATTTACAATTTTTCTTGAACTTGACCTCAGTGGAATAATATTTCTGTCATTTGCAGGATATTTCTTTGTGTTTGCAGCAGCAGAGACCCCTTCAAAAGTTAAAAATGTACAGAGTGGAAATAAGAGCCTACACGCTGACCCCCAAGCTCTTGGGTTTGTCTAGTGTCTTGCTAAAACCAGTCACCAGCTCCACCATTACTGATGTCAGGACCAAGTGTGGGATAATTATAGCCTCTCCAGCTGACTACTGGACCTCTTAATATGCCCACAGTGACTGAGGTTCCAGGTAAGAAATTTTGCAGAAGTCCAGCCTGCTGTAACTTTCCATCCAAAGTGAAGGATTGATGGTTTCTTCCCCTTTAAACTCTCTTCTGGTTTAAGCCCCTGTTTCACTGTGTCTAGCGCTCTCACTGCTACTGCAGGCTTTCTGCGGAATCAGTGATTCCTGCAAGATTTTTTTTTTATACTGGAAAAAGAAAAGAACACACACACACACACAGATTAGGTGGGGAGATTTTTAATAGGCCAAATCTTGCCCTCATACCCACCCATGTAATTCCACTAACTTCAGTGGGGTTGCAAGTATAGCACAGAGAAACTTGACCTTTAGCATTTATATAATGATTTTGTAAACTGCTTTATAAATGAAAGTCCAAATCCTGAGGACCTTATCCAGGTAGTTTTAGGTATTTCATGGGCAGGTGAAAGCAGAAACAGAAAGTAAGAAAGAAAGAAAGCAAGAAAGAGCATCCATAATTTGGGAGTCCTGCAAATAAAAGTGTCTGCAGTATTAGCAGTGAGAATACAGAGAATAGAATTCCATTCTTCAGTAGAAGGACATCCACATGGTGTGTTAATGGACCTAGAGGATACAGAAATTTATTTTGAAACTATGTCCAAAGTGCATGCATATACCTTAAAAACACAGGTGCTTGCTCTCTCTCTCTTGCGCTCACACACATGCACTCACACACACTCAGCCAAGAATTCACATAAAATATTATAGAGATGCTATGCTAAACTGATGCAAGGTTACATAGCATTTGTTGGGAAGCATATTAATGACCTGGCATGAATTCACACTTATGCTGACATTTGTCAAAATGTCTAGAGCCTTGAAATGTAAGTTGTGAGAGCATCAAAATACAATCAATGTGTTTATAATCTGAACAGTAACAAAATTGCAAGGTAGAATTGGAATAGCTTTCACTGCTGCTGCCTGTGATTTGCCTATCCTGGACTAGAATTTAGCGCCATGTACCAACCATGGTGCAATGTAGAGCCACAGTGCCCAGGAAGGAGCAGGGTCAGTACAATCACTCCCTGTGCTACTCCACAATGTCAGTCCAGCTCTGTGGGGCAGTGGGGAAGAATGTAGCTATGGCCCCACCTACTTTCAGCCACCTTGCTTCCTGAAGGCAACAGGAGAGAGCACAATGATTTTTATTGTTGCTGCCTTTAATCGGCATTAGGGTGACCAGACGTCCCGATTTTATCGGGATAGTCCTGATTTTAGGGGACTTGTCCCGCGTCCCGACCTTACATTGGTCGGGACGCACTTTGTCCCGATATCGGGGGGACCACGGCAAGCCGGCACTGCTCACCTCTTCTTCCGGGCCCTGGGGCAGTGCAGCTGAGTACCTGCCGGCCGGCAGGAGTGCTACAGCCCCACTCCCCAGAGTGCTACAGCCTGCTGGATCCTGGATCCCCCGCGTCCCAATATTTCACTTCTGTCATCTGGTCACCCTAATCGGCATGCAAGGAGGGGTGGAGATTTCTTGCATCAACCCTAGGTTTGCTTGGCAATGCAAAGCACCAGTGCTAGGTCACTGTGCCAGCTCTTCAATTGTTAAAATTCAGAATATTCTTCATATTTAAGTTTGCCCAGTAAAGCCAGAGCAAGAGACACAGCCACTACCATTTTAATTCTACCTTCGGATTAGGTCATCCCCCAGAACTACAGTCTTTTGAGGATGGGATGTGGGGAGTAATCAGTAGAGCTCTAGAGTGAACATTCTACATTAGAGAATTTTTCACAGCAGCAAAGACTTTCTCATGAAATAAATGATATACCAAATCTAGGACAGAGTCACAACCTGGGGACCAGTAATGACTTAATTCATGCTGCACACATCCAGACGTACCGCTTAGTGGTCCTAGCTATTTCATCCAAAATTCTCTCTGCTTCCCTTTTATCCAGTGGGGCCTCTCAATAATTACTAGGATAGGAGAAACAAAAAGAGACAAATTATACAGTAACTGTGGGACTTAATTTAGAGCCACTTATGGCTTTGAGATATTATTCCCTTTATTATCCCTGAGTTATACCCTAGAGAATTGAAGGTATGCACACAGCTAATAAACTCAATTACAGGTAGGAATCTCTTTCCAGTTGGGAGATTTGAAGACTTGAGCAATTAGTCTGCACTTTAGGCTCAAATAGCTTAAGGCAGCAGAGATTCCAGCATCCATAACCCAGACTTTGTTATAACTTTCTCGGGGAAATACAAAATAATTAAAACAGTTTTTAATATGAGCTTTGGTAACAATATAATAAACAGAACCTTACACTGGGACTAAAAGGTGCCTGGAGAGATGCCTGAAAAATTGTATTTGTATTGATGGGCATAAAAAGAGTTAACTTTCAGTTCAGAGACAGGCAGATGGAGAGACATGCACACACACAAAAACAACTGCAGGCAAAAATATAAAATGTAATCTAGGCCATGATTCCAAACCCATTAAAACCAACAGAAGCTTTTCCATAGACCCCAGTCAGCTTTGTATCAGGTCCTTCAAAAGTATGTGTTCTGTGAACAAAGGAACTATGCCAGGAGTCAGAATCCTTCTCACAAACTGAGAATAAGGTGCAGCGTACCCACACAGCAGCTACTGCAGCATCAGAGGTTCAGTAGCATCCACAGCCCCTACATGCTGCTCTGTGTGGGTCAGACCAGTGGATCTACTTGGCAAGGGATCTGCTTACTTGTCCTGTCCCTCATTGCTCCTCCTATGAGTCTGCAGTGGAGATGGCATAGAGTTGTGTTCCACAGCACAAATGAGGTATGAATGCCTTCTACTTAACCTCTCCATGCCCTGCCACTCCCATAATTCCACTATATCAATAGACTCCTATGAGATGGAGGCATTAGCTCCCCCACCCCCATGTATAAACATCCTCAAGAAGACTGTAACACATATACAATAATGCATACAACATACTCAGACTTGCTTCTTCAGTAGTTAGGCACTAACCTACATTTTCACTAGAGTGAACAGACATATCACAGCTGCTTCACAAGGTGAAGTTACTGCCATATACAACAGAAGGAGACAGCTCAACTTCTCCAAACCAGAGAGAGATCTCCTGGCTAAAGTTAATCTCTCCTAATGAGGGTCCTGTATACACCAAGCATGAAAATCACTCACTACAGCCAACAGAGGATATAGGAAAGGGCTTCAACATCTGCTGCTCCATGCCTACGGGCATGGAGAAAGTAAAAGGAAATGGTAGAGCCCTGAGGAGACAAACCTCATTTCACTGAAAAATGGAGGGGGTGGGGGTGAAGACAGCAAGTCACCTCTGGTAAGTAATGTTATATGCCTGATGTGGGGACTTTAATCATTGCATGAAAAATGGAGTGTACACATGTGTTTAAGCTTGGGGTGATGCCTGAGGATTCTCTTACTTAAAAAACACATACCCTATGGATGTGAAATGCTTTCTAAAACCACACTAAGGGTCAGTGTGATGCACTCAGCACTGTGATCCAGTGTAAGTGTCAGATTTGTGGCATGTAGGCGTAATTATTATGTTGTTTATCCAAGTAATGCATTCGGCTGTAAAACTGGGTTTCATACACATTAGGCCCAAGCCTGTAAAGTGAGCCAATGATCAAAAAAGTGTGCAAATATGAACAAGTTCCCTTGAACAGTCAGGCTGACAAAAGGAGTCTAAGTCCCAAGTTGTACTTCAGTATCTTGTAACCCACAGAGCTCACCAGCTGCCAGCTACTGTAAATTACTTGGGGGAGATGAGCAGACACAGTCTGCTGTTTCTCCCCCATTGCATGTGAATGAGCCTCTGATAGTGTGGCTGATGTGATTAGGTCTTATGATGGTGTCCCCTGAATAGATATGTGGACAGAGTTGGCAACGGGCTTTGTTGCAAGGATAGGTTCCTGGGCTAGTGTTTCTGTTGTATGGTGTGTGGTTGCTGGTGAGTATTTGCTTCAGGTTGGGGGGCTGTCTGTAAGCGAGGACTGGCCTGTCTCCCAAGATCTGTGAGAGTGAGGGATCGTCCTTCAGGATAGGTTGTAGATCCTTGATGATGCACTGGAGAGGTTTTAGTTGGGGGCTGAAAGTGATGGCTAGTGGCCAGATCTTCCCTAGTCCTTCTGGACACAAATTTCCCTGTAGGAGACAGGCAAGAAGGCAACCTTCTCCCACAGCAGCCCACAGAGCATGCTGCACCATCTAGAGAGGAAGCAGCCTGAGAAGGCATCTAGCAGGGGATTCAGCTGGCCTGACAGGATCCCAACCTTTGGTACTCGGGGAGGCAGTACAGGTGGATTCCAGCCACACCCAGAAAATCATGAAGTTAGTCTGGCCATCACCTGTAAACTGGGGTATCCATGCTCCCTCCCCCCATGTAGTATGCCATAATCACTGCAACAGGGCAGGCTGCCAGGACAAGGACAGTGTTGTGAGGGGTTGGCTGAGAGTTTCTCAAAGATGTCCCTGACCTTCAAATACCTGTACCTCAGACAGTGACCTCAGGGGTCCCTGCCTAACCTCCCCAAATCCTGTTCCTGACACCAGCTATCAGGTGGAAGATTCCCTGAGTTGAGGAAGGGGTCCCAAGTCTCAGCCACATGCCTCTGCACAAACACCAACCCTCTCTCCTAGTGGTCAGAATTAACCCTGTAACAGGTACCACACTCAGAACACTTAATCTAACCCAGGCAAAGTAGGAGTAAACTCAGGGGAGGATTCCTAGAAGGGGTTACACATACTTCCTTGCCCCGTTACAGCATACAGCCCTTCCCCGACACACACACCTTGATTAGCTAGGCACATAGACTCTCCATCCCAAATCAGTTCAAACCCCCATGGATCAGTCTAACCTGTTCCTGTACTCTGACACTGGTGTGCTCTGTGAGATCAGAATGCTGGGTCCAGCTGTGTGGGCTTTGCTGTCCTGTCAGCTCCAAACTGTGCATCTGCAGAGGGTCCCCTTTGCTATCACCAGTGCAGCAGTGAGTTCTCCTTTCAACAGCTCCCAGT